GGTGATGACGCAATTATATTTTGATATTTAATCAAAGACATGATACATGTAGATGTCTATGAGCCACAACATCTATTTACTATCAGGTGGCCTGCGTGCGCGTTTGTCATCCTCGTTCTTTAAAAATAACAAAACAAAAATCGGGAATAATAAGTTAAAATTAAAATCGACCAAGTTAGTTTCATTCAATAGGTTGTAAGAACTAAGAATGTGTTTATATTTAAAACATATTTGAACACTGCTGCGACTTTGATTTCTCCATTTATCCCAGAGTTGACTGGTACTGAACCCTAAGTTTAATGTTTTAAAAAAATATATATAAATTAACTATTTACTTTTAATGTAGTTATTTTACATTGCATCTAACATCTTTATTTAATTGTTGCGAAAATCTTAACGAACTATTGTGGTCCAAACCACGAGTCACATCACTATTTCCAAGACATTACACCATGTGTAACAGGCTGCATTATGTTATATTTGCGCTTAACTAACTCCGCTACACCTGATACTATCAAGTATTCATCGATACTTTAATGACTCATTGTATGATTGTATACTCGTGACACTTCATTGCATCGCGAGCGTGAGCGTTAACGTCACAACAAAGTGGTCGGATGAATGTATTTTATTTATATTAACAACACCTGTACCTCAATAGTGGAGAAAAATCATATTGTACTTGTTTGTACTACTAAGGCGCGTAATATCAATACATAGTAGTTTATTTCATAATGCTATGTTTATTTTTCATAGATTATCAGCTGGTGCCTGGCGCGTTCCTGCCGCAAAATAAATAATTATGGAAATATAGTTTTAAATTTGGAAGAGTTATATTGTTTAATTAGAAATGATAATACAATCATTGAAGTTGAATGATCTATAACTTTAAATTAAATTTGTAGGTATACGCGCGTCATCTACTGTAAGTTAATTATACTATGCCTATAACCAAAGATCATAGAAACAATTCTATGACCTGTGCCTATAACCTTCGCGCAAGTGCAAGCAATAAGTTGACAAAGTTTTACCGCAATGTGATGTATGGCAGGGCATAAAACACGAACAAACAAACATTCATTTTTATATACTAGATTTCATTATATCACTGATAGTTTATCTTTAATTAAGGATAAAATTTAATGTTTAATTATTTAATGCATCAAACGAGCTACTATTCCCATTCTAAATGGTTACTGTAGCTGATTAACACCTGCAACCAAGTTCAAACAACGAAGGTTGCAGACGAATGTTACCCCTGAGAACTAAGGGCTGATTTACATGCAATAAGAAAGCAACCGTCGGCGAGTTATTAGTACTTTGGTGCCTTTCCAGTAGACGTTTCATACTTTTTCAGTACAGTGGCATTTTGTCGCCAGAATAAGCAACGTCAGAATATACGCACGATTCTACGCGAAATACTAGCTATTTTTTATTTTTAAATTAAAATGAAGTGCCAATGTACTAGAAGTCTATCCGATGGTACGGTGTCTACTACAGTCTATAGAGACCCGCAGACGCCTTCAAACAAGAAAGGCTTTAGATAGAACTGAACTGAAGAATTGAATGCTTCACAGTTTGTAATTATACAAGCTCCTTAAACCCTTTACATCGGAACACAACAGTGCAAGCAGGTGATCTCATCGGCAGAAAAGGAAACAAATAGAAGAATAAATTCTAAATGAGATAAATAAACCAAAAAATAAGTGGGAATAAGCGGACTTTACTCAGTTTCTTAGTTATTAAATTTAAGTATTCAACGTTTTGTTATGATGCAAACAACACGCATTAAGCGTCTTAAGTAAATTTACAAATGCACATCACTGATGTTATCTCTAAATTGTCGGTTTACAATATACCGAGCAGTGATATGAGAGACGCGCGAAGAGATCAACAAGATCTATTCTTTTTGATTTAGGTGAATCATAATAACTCGAGTAGCAGTAATCACTAAAGGCCTCTTACTCACTCAAATATCACTGAAAGTACGTAGTAAGTAAGTAGTACTGATGTACTCCACAAAAGCCTTCCGACAAAAATAACGGTATCTATTTTAACAAACCATGTAAACTAGTAATAATAATAAAGCACTCTTCTATTACTAAATGTAAACCGCCTTAAAATGGAATGCCTGAAAAACCGGAACATAGCATTGGATTATTGAATGTGTTGACACTTTGCAGCAACCAAAGTCGTGTAAATCTGTCGGCACATACAACAGTGTTGTAGGCTACTCTTCAATGTTCATAATACCGGTAGATGCAAGTCGTGTTCCAGCTACTCGTATTATACTGATATTATATTACGTCCTAGTGTTTATAAATATTATTAACATCTAGAATTTACCCGCAAGTTCGCCCGGGAAGAGCTCGGAAAACGACATTATTTCGAAAAGTCACAGACGTAGTGTTATTCCAATACCTAGCTGAGCATGAAGAGGTAAAATTAGAGAATTTCGCTTCAGATCTACCCCACAGGAACCTTGCATTTATTGGGATAAAAGGTCATGATATTTATGTTGATCTGTTGCCGTTGCCCCGATGCTTCGTGAAATGAGTACAAATCAAAAAACACACTTTCGCATTTGTAATATTATTATAGTAAGGATATACAATATACAATAATTTGTATATATACATTATATATCTCGCCTCGTTGGCCTAGTGGTTGTAGTAGTGCGACTGTTGATCATGAGGTCCTGGTTTCGAATCCCGGGTCGGGCCGGGTAGTTATTGAGTTTTCCTATCAAAAAATTCTCAGTAGTTGCCCGGTGTCAGGAAGTTGGCGGTGTCTCACCCCCGTGCCTCGGAAAGCACGTAAAGCCGTTGGTCCTGCGCCTGATTACCTATTCAATTCAGTAGCTTGAAATTCGGTCTGGAGGACATTGTATATATATAATTGTTGTGTAAGAAACTTCTGATCCGCCCCGGCTTCGCACGGGTGATTTCTGGATATCGACAACAGCGCTAACTCTACCAGGGACTCTTTCATACACACAAAAAAATTAATCAAAATTAGTCGCGCCGTCCGTTAGCGTTAACGGACGGCGATTGATTTTTATATATAGAGATTATACTAAACAATCTGAGGCGTTTATTACCGCAAAATGAGAGTTTTATTCTACTGACGGAAAATGCGTCACCATAGCGAATATGCTTAATGCTATGGTGACGCATTTTCCGCACCACGTGTGTATACAGTTCTGATTAAATAATTAAGTTTTTTCATTTCATCGCAAAATATATACAGAAAATATATATACAGAAAATTACATTATAATAAATTAATAATAATAATTATATAGAGAAAATTAAATACACTTATGAATAAAACAAATTTTACAGATTTTATCGCCGTTCATTATAATTCACGAAGTTCAGAATGCTTTGCAGGAAGTTTTATTTCATTCAGTTTGTAGTGTTTGCGTCAATATGAGAAATCATTAAAAGTATTATGATACAATAAAGAAAAATGAAGAAAGGTTCTCAAGTGGCAGCCTCGTACCGGTGAGTGTAGGACGGCCCCGCACTAGATAGATAGATGGAGGCAGGTGGTTCAGGACCGCTGTGTGGCATTACTTGAGGGTGGCCTGTGTTCAGCAGTGGACTTGTGATGAGCTGTATTAATAATGATGAACGCTATACACTTTAACAAAATAAATATAAATGGTTTTCTTAACCATCAGAGTGCCCGGTTATATTATAGAGTTCTGTTTGTATTATTGGTAGTGAAACAAGAATTACCCTTAGTTCAGACACGGCGGATACCGCGCGGACGCAAACCGCGCGGGTCAACCGCGCGGATCTTATTATAATGGCATAGTACTAGAACGTTCATACTACACCGCGCGGACCATGCAACCGCGCGGTAGCCGCAACTCGACCGCAAGAAAATGAATTCGCGCGTTCGCCGCGCGGACGTAATTCTATGACATTCTTAAATAGTTAAAAAATTCGGAATCATAATTCCTTAACTTTGCATATAAAGACACAAACTGACCATGAGTGAACCGATCTTGTAAAATTGGATGCACCCAATACTGCCGTTTCCTTTTTTTTGTGGAGTAGGAGTAAGTACACACATATTGCCTCTTCAACTTCCATGATTGAACTGAAAGGCTGTCACCCTACCTCGCAGTCCTCGCACCGCACAATAACCGCGCTTGTCTGAACACTTCACTATTCTCGCGGATCGGACCCGCGCGGTTTGCGTCCGCACGGTTTCCGCCGAGTCTGAACGTGCTCTTACACTTGGCACATTCTTATACTAAACAAACTAGGTGAACACCACGTTCCTTCTGCAATGCCTGCCTATTCGCTGACTTCGTTGACATCCAAATGATAGTTACTTTGTCGTATACACTATGTCCTATGCCATATATGGCTTTTTTATAACAGGTACCACAAGTGCGAGTGGCAAGTGCAACTGACAAATGACAAGTGCTTAGTGCATGTGAACAGGCAGTGCCAAGTGATAAGTGGGAATAAAATATGCACTTGTCACTTCTCATTTGTCACTTGTCATTGTCACTCGCACTTGTCACTTCTCAAAATGTAAACCGGGCTTAATACGTCGTAAAAATTGGTAGGTACACCGCGTTGCAATTTGCAGTTGATTTGCCGCACAGGCAAAACATCGTTAGGTAACCTGCTTGTCTGAGAAATAAGAAAAAACTTTTTTGGAAGACTTGTGAAGTTCGCCAACACGAATTAAGGCAGCGCGTTGGGCATTTCCTTTCACTAAAACCTTCTCGGAAACGATAGGTAGCCTGTGCCCAGAAGTGGGACGTATATAGGCTGTAACTTTAACATGTCGTCGTATATTTTCGACTAGCATTTTAATGCCAAGAAAGTTAGAGAATGGGCTTGCTGATCGTGTATACCATGTTAACTTCCGATACGGATATCTAAATCGAGTGGAAGCAACCCACCCGCGAGACTAGTCCTGTACAACTTTCGCTACTAGTGTCGTATGCGAAACTCTTAACAGGTAGTTATCGACTAATCAAGCGATACTTCTATAAATAGTCGCGAGTCATTTGTTAGTTCCAAATCATAAACGGGCCAATTATCAAATGAAGTTTCCATTAAATTTTTAGCTAAAGTAGGGTTGCTACATCGTAGTTAATTTCAATAATGTTAATATTCCATTGATCGTAATTACAGTCACAGGTAATGCTAGAATTGACTGGGGAAAGAAAATTACAACGTAGACAGGCTAACTGAAAGTTTGGTTGGTTACCTAACTGCCGTCTAAGCTTCGACAATATACTACTGCCTTGTTTATGGCTAACCGCATTTAATACTCGAAAGTGCCATAAATTTATATGACAGTCCCTGTAGGGAAATGTTAAAATTATTTGCATAACTGCAACGCGACATCGTACTCGTTTTACCAATAGCTTTTATTTTAAGAGCATATTTGTTACTTTGCAACCTTCCGCTTACACTAACTCCGTCACCACTAGTCCCAGCACCACCACTCAGGGCACCACTACTTCCAACACTACTATTCCAGATAAGACACACCATCGACGACAATACGACACGTGTTTCGCCTCTACACGAGGCATCCTCAGGTAATGTAGACTCTACGGCGACTGACCCCTAACTGGCGTCAAAATAACAGACTTTTACTGAATACATAATATATATATATAATAAATGTATTGTATATATATATATATATATATATATATATATATATATATATATATATATATATATATAATAAAAACAAAAAAAAAATTTTTAAAATTTTTCTCTGTCAGCCTGTTTATTCCAGCTGATCTCCGAAATGGCTGAACTGTTGCTGATTTAATCATCATTGTTTGTGTGCGTTAGGGCGTATTTACGACAGCAAGAAAACTTCTGCAAGAAGTGTCCGACAATCTCGACAGTAGCTTGCAGATGTAAACTATACGTAGCAAGTACACTCGCAACAGTTTGTCAAGCGTTAAGCGGCCTTCCAGTATACATTAGCAAGCTATGCTTATGTACTCTAAGGTCGTATTGGTATTAGTATGTATTAATTAGTATTACCTATCTGTTTAAAATATTTTGAAATGAAAAAATCAAATTAAATAATTTTGAACAAGAATTAAATATAAAATTAATAAAAATCATTTGCGTGCATTACCTAACAAAAATTTGAACGATTTTTTCGTGTGTTTGTCCACTCAAACCTTTTATGCATTATCTTCTTTCTTTATATGTATCATACACATGTGACGTCTTCAATAACTGCAAGGTAATGAGACGAACAAAAATATCACGCACGCTAAATATAAAATTGTCATTGAGTATTTACGATCACCTTAACTTACAGGCGAATAAAATAAAGTTATAACGTATTCGCTTGAAGAGTAGAGTGGTACCTTTGAAAGATTGCTTTGAAAGGTTTTACTGCTATATTAATTTATATTATATTTTAAAAATATTATAAAAATTATATTAGAAATGCGGTCGTTAAGGAGTATGTTAGGGCTGAATCTGTCGTGACAGGAATGCTTTGGTGGTTTGATATGGATGGATTATGGATATGGAGGAGACGAGAGAGATGTGTCAGAATCGTGCCAAATGGAAATCTGCAGTCTATGCCTACCCCTCTGGGTGACAGGCGTGAGTGTTTATATAATAAAAAATAATATACATTACAACTAACAACTACGGATACTTAAATTTTTGAAAGCTTCTCCAGGGCAAAGCTTTTCTATGCGGGCTAAGAGCGTCAGATGTTGACCAAAATTAATCCGTTAGGGACCTTTAAAACCTTTAACTTTCTCAACAGACTAAGGAGGTATGTTTCTGACAAATAGTTATCACTTAAGTTTAACAACTTCGTTAGCTTAATGCTACAATTAATCAACGAAGTCTGATTAGAAAGTGATCGAGATCACCTGCGGTTGAAGCAACACACGCGCGATGATATCGACTCAGCTACTATGTAATAAAGCACAAACCAACGAGTTTCGTGTATAACCCGATTGTGATTACACAATACGATGCGTGCAATTCGAATTATGTTGTGCGATATGTAGCATTACGTTATAATTTATTGTTCTTGTTACGTAAGGTTATTCTTGAATCGATTTTAATATAGTGCTTTATTCTCATAATATTTTTAGTGTTTTTTAAAGTTTTGCAATCACAAAAGATGTTTCGTAATTTCCCGAACGCTGCCCAGCCGAGTTGAATCTGTCGATTGACCTCTCGGTCGAAGTTGGACTTACCTAGTCGGTACCTATTTGTCCCAGGTAAACGTACTCGTCAACAACTTCGAGCTTAGTGCTCCCAACAACTACTAGCATAGGTGTGACATGGACATTACACATGATCTACATTTTGTCCATGTTCATCTTAAGACCTATCCATTGGGAGACACTACTGAGGTCATTGAGCATAGTGCTTAGGTCCTCCAGCGATTCTGCCATAAGGACTATATCGTCGAAAAATCGTAAGTGAGTGATGTACTCACCATTGATGTTAATACCGTATCCTTTCCAGTTCAGTAGATTTAAAGTATCTTCCAATGCAGCGGTGAAGAGTTTCGGGGATATAAAAATTGTGACTGTGATGGTTAATGCTATTGACGACTAACGTACTTACAGTTTACATGATGGTAAGTGGTTACTGCAGTCCATACACAGCTGCAGCCAATTTCAAATAAAGAAGGCTTCTTATGCATTTTCGTTTCTGATGACTAAGATGAATTGCCTCATCTGTAATTTTACTGGCTCTTGCTCTTACATCGCTAGATTAAACCCATTACAGTGGCAAACAAGCTAACTAAATCTAATTATGCATATGCCGCTGCCTTTTAGTCTTCTATATCGGTCCGTATAAATCCACTGCTGAACCTGTCTCCCCCCATATCGAAGTTTCATGTCTGATTTTATATGTGCTGGAAAATCCATACACGACGGGCACTCACGATTACACAGTCGTGACACTATTGTGTTGATTCCTTATGTTTAGATACAAACTGCATTGTCTGCATACTAATGGCCAGTAGTGTATAAGGTGCCTCCGTTTACATTATTGCATACCATGTTGCTATTTATAAAATGGTATGTGCCTCATGGCCTTTATCCAGATATATAATACTTAAGCCTTGGATATACTTGTGGACAAAAGGAGTGGCATGTAGCGCAACATGTTGCTAAACAATTACGTGGAATGTCCCTAGACATATATCGCGAAACATTTACAATACTACGGAACGGTGTTGGCCCTCATATCAGACTTGCCATTGCATTAACAAAATGGCGCGAAATTGACGCGGGACACGTGCGCTCGCTCTCGGCGCGGGAACATGCAACATGTCCTGCGTCACATAAAATGTTGCGGGTCACCGTGCAACGTTGTATCGTCACGGTGATTGAGTGTTCCACGTCATCTTGCGGGACAAAATGTCCCCTAGTGTATCCGGGACTTAAGACTGACACCGGGGTAAAGCGTCTAAGGTGCGTGACGTATAATACTGCGACAGCCCTTCTACCCACCAAAGGTCTCCCTACTAATAACAAAGGCCTAAATCCGTTGATAGATCGGTACGGGCTAGTAAAAAGGAGTAATAACATGTAAAATTCTTCTATTTATCATAGTCAATGCAATGTAGTGTAATACGAGTTCGTCCAGGTAGGTTTTTTATCGAAAATGGGTGCCAAACTTGCACTAAAAATAAAACATTTTACTTGTAGTTTCTATTTAAGGTAAACAAACAAAATGACTACATTTCAATTTAATAGTATGTAGGTATAACAAAATATCCTCGCACATCCATCACGCATGCGCGACGCGTCGGATTCCGTCGCTTGTGCGTCTGACCGATCGCGACTGCCCGGCGATGCGACCTAGCCTAATTTGTCCCACTTAGAACCGTTGTACTCATAACTAAAATATTGAATAGCGGTTTGAATTTTTTTTATAGCAGAAGACGCAAACGAGCATACGGCTCACCTAATGTTCAATGACTACCGCCGCCCATGAACAACCGCAACACCAGGGGAATTGCAGGTGCGTTGCCGGCCTTTTAGAATGGAGTAAGCTCTTTTCTTGAAGGTCCCTAAGTCGTATCGGTCCGGAAAAATCACCGGTGGTAAATTGTTCCACAGAGAGGTCGTACGCGGAAGAAAACTCTTTGTGAAATGTACATTGGTGGACCGCCAATCATCCAGATGATGTGAATGGTATCGGGAGCTTTGCCGCTATGTGCGTTCGTGAAATTTGGCGGCTGGGCCAATTTCTCAGAGCACTGTCCGTACTACATGCGAAAGAAAATGCAAAGGGAATGAATGCCCCATTAATCCTCCCTAAATATACCAATTGACTCCGACCTATTTAACGGCTCTTGAGAAATATTGTTCGCGTTCGTACCGATGGATATTATTATATCATTACGTATACAATCATTTCGTTTTAAATTTATGCAACCGGTGTAGTTATGTAGTTTAATGTTATAGACTCAATTATTTTAACAACTTGAAATTTTGAGTATAAACAAATTTAGAGCTATCGCAAATAACTTTGTGTAAAAGTATCCTCGAAATGAAATCGTATTATTTTTAAAGGCCATATTATAACCAAAAACTTCGAAGTGAAAACCCTGTCCTTACACAATACTAATTCATAAGCCATTTGCATTGAGTGCAACGACCCAGAGACTTATTGGATGATTGTGTGCCATCAAGCAATTGAAGACAAGCGTTTCGCCTTTATATCATCCATATGTGGCCGTTTATTAGCGACAGTGTGTCAACTTCTATGCCGCTATGTTATAATCTCATTCTAGGTCCATCGTAGTCTTAGTCTCATGGAGTCGGTGGATGTGTAGGGTCCTTATAGTGGTGTAGTAGAAAAATAACAGCTTATATACTTGCCACTGCTGGGCATTTTTTACCGATCTGACCCAATTATGCAAAATATATAGACTGCAGCAAAATACTGGCTATATTTATTAAAAAGAAATCTATTCTAGGAGCCTATCACTGATTTTATTATTATTATATACAATGTAAAAATGGTATACTCACAAGTTAGTTGACCACGCAGCGTGTCGAGACGCTCCTCTACGACGAGAGCTAGCGCCGTCTCATCGATACACCTTGTATTTGCAGTACGGGCCTCTGTGGACAAATGTCATGGCATATATAATCAAAAGTATTTAACAAACAAATGTGAATTTTTAAGTCTTATTACGCAAACTTCTGTTTTGTGGGTCAGATGACTGACCTGTTAACTATCTTTCACATTGAATACGATATTTTTGATAGTTTATTTAGACATAAGGGAGTTGGCGCTCTTTTCGACACCAGACCCGACACCCTTTTTAGAATACCCGAGAACGAATAGAGACGAGAAAATAATTCTATTTTAATGTAAAGCTTAAGTAAAATGAATTATCAAGTCTTTTTTTTACAGAAGAGGCGGCTCACCTGATGGTATGTGACTACCGCCGCCCATGAACAACCGCAACACCAGGGGAATTGCAGATGCGTTGCCGACCTTTTAGAAAGGAGTAAGCTCTTTTCTTGAAGGTCCCTAAGTCGTATCGGTCCGGAAAAGTCGCCGGTGATAAACAATTCCACAGAAAAGTTGTACGAAGAAGAAAACTTCTAGTAAAACGTACAGTAGTGGACCGCCAAGCATCCAGATGGTGAGGGTGGTATCGGGAATTTTAACGCGATGTGCATTCGAGAAATTTGGCGGCTGGAACTAATCCGAACCATTCCTCAGAACATTCCCCATGGTAGATACGATAGAAAACGCAAAGGGATGCCCTCCGCGTGAATCCCTCCAACACTCGGGCGTCGACGATTTGAATCGCTCTACGCTGGATGCGGTCAAGTGGAAGGAGCTGGAACTGGGGTGCCACGGCCCAGAAATGAGAACAGTACTGTGTTCCCGTGCGGCCGAACTTGCGCTTTGTAAAGTTGCAAGCACATCGCTTCGCGCCGTCATGAAATAATGTCCCGCACTGCTGAGCACGCCAAGCTTTTTAGAGACCGATTTGGCCTTCACATGCAAGAGACCACAAAACTGCACATTATTCGATATGTCGACGCCGAGGATTCTGATGCTAGCTGAGGCAGCAAGGGGAGTGCCTTCAAACTAAGGAGACACGACAAAGGGGTTCTTTTTAGCGGTTAACGCGCAAACTTGTGTCTTCTGGCGATTGAACTGGACTAGATTTAGTCGCCCCCAATCCGTGACTTTGTTAAGCAAAGACTTGACTCCAGACACAAGTTTGTTTGCCCTGGTACTCGGCGAGGATTTCCCGAGAAATATTGGCACGGCCAGTGTATAAGGCATCACCAGTGCTGTCGTCTGCACAGCAATGAATGTTATCATTTTGCAACATATCATTGATATGCAGAAGAAACAGCGTTGGCGATAGTACACAGCCTTGTGAAACACCAGCGTTAATAGGCTTGTAATCAGAGCAAGCAACGTCTACTACGACCTTGATGCTCCGATTACCAAGAAAGCTAGTGATCCAATCGCACAATTTCTCGGGAAGCCCATAATAGAAAGGGAGCTTCGAAAGAAGCGCTTTGTGCCAGACCCGATCGAAGGCCTTCGCTATGTCGCCCATCTATGAGTAAGGTAGACCAGAAGATCACCAGCTGATCGACCACGACGGAAACCGTATTGGCGGTCAATGATCAGCTGCTGATCTTCAAGGTACCTCATGAGCTGGCAGTTTACAATAGACTCCATTATTTTGGAGAACAAGGAGGTGATGGCGATAGGCCTGTAGTTGGACCGGTCTGAGCGGTCGCCTTTTTTAGGGATCGGGTGGACCAAAGCAGTCTTCCAAGAATTCGGGACTACGCCTTGGGAGTAGCCGTACCGGAAAAGGCGCGTTAAAACCGGTGCCAACCCCGGAGCACATGTCTTCAGCACAATGGGAAGGACTCCATCAGGCCTAATTGACTTACTGACGTCCAGGGAGAAGAGTGCTTTGCGAACCGAGCGCTGTGTAAACCGCAGCTCCGGCATGGAGCACTTACGTCGCAGGATGGTCAGCGGTGTGTTCTCCCCGTCATCGAGAGTCTAGTTGGACGCAAAGAGAGAGCAACAGATAACAGATCGGCTTTCTCCTTTGCGGCATGGGCCAGTGAGTCGTCCTCTTTGTGCAGAGATGGTAGAGATGACTGACAGAAGTTCTCTTGGGCAGGCTTGGCGAGAGACCAGAATGCACGGGTTTCCAAAGGAAGGTGAACAAGCTTCTCGCCAATTCTGCCGATGTGCTCAGACCTTGCCTTGGCAATGACTCTTTTGAAGGACCTGGAGGCGGAATTATACTTCTTTTTAAGAGCGCTGGCGTTAACATCTCGAGACGTTGATGCGTCAGCCCAGGCCCGATAGCACTCTTTCCTATAGCATGATGCTATGTTATAGGAGCGACCAAGTCAGGGCTGGAATCTGCCTCCGATGGGCACCCCACAGAGGATGGAATAAAAATTTCCATATCCCGTAGTACCACATCAGCGACAGAATCAGTAACAAAGCTAGGATCGTCCAGCGAGAAGCAAAGCCTCCCCCAAGGGTAGGATGCAAAAAAAGACCGCATCCCGTACCAATTGGCCGACATATAGTGCCAAACACGGCGGCAGCCTGCAGAATGCAACCGCGACGTTAATGTGACTGCCAGCACACTCCGGACAAGACAATGGTCCGACGAGCCTAAAGGGGCATCGACGGAATCTTGATATCCGTCCGGATGAGAGGTCAGCAGAAGGTCCAATAGGGAAGGTGTATGATCTTCCACATCTGGAATCCGCGTAGGCGCAGTAACCAGTTGTGTCAGACCATATGCCAAAGCAAAGTCATAAACAGATCTCCTTGCATGATCGGTAAAATGTGAACCGAGTCATTCGGCGTGGTGGGCGTTCAAATCCCCAAGAATCACGATCTCTGCGGATGGGATCTGCTGTAGCACGGAACCTGTAGCCATTTGGACGTGGTCAAGGAGTCGTTCTGTTTCGGTATTACCGCTATTGGACCTATACAGGCACCGATGAACAGGTTCGTACCTTCAAGACTGCTGAGGCGTCGAAAACAGATGTCCTCTCTAACGTATATGCAAACTCCAGCCCGTGGCACAAAGGAGTGTTCTAATTTGTACCCCGGGTAGGAGAGATATGAAGTATCAGCCGTAGAGGACAGTCTTAAATCATAATTAAAGCTTTTGCTTGCCATTTTGAAACAGAAACAGATACAGAAACTTTTTAATTCAATGTAGATTATAAACAATACTTATTGAAAGTCAGTTTTTTATTTACCACTGGAAGCAAGCTAGCAAGAAACTCAGCGGGACTATTATTACTACTAGAACAAATTAGACTAAGACATGAATAACCATTTTTAAAATTTTTGTCTGTCTGTATGTCCGGCTAATCTTTGGAATGGCTGAACCGATTTTAATGAAACTTCACAGACAGTTAGAGAGCAATGCCAGGTTGCCAGGTGTGATCCGGGCCATATTGTATCGGAAAAGCTTATTTTAAAACAAAAAATTACTAAACAAATAGTCTTTGATCATCTTAAATCTTAATATATTTGCGTTTTCATTCGCTTCTTTTAATGTTTTGATTGGTATAAAATAAAAAAAACAATACAAAAATAAATTGCCTCTCGGTAAATTGCCAAAGGTAAGATACTAAACAACAAAACATCAATGCAGAAGATCCATTTCATGTCAAGCAATTGTGATACGAACAAACCTACATAATAAAGTATAAAGTCCTAAAACATCAACGCGATACGACTTACGTAACAATGTCGTCGCCCGTACACATAAACCAAGTGGCCAGGGATTATGAGAGCTACCGGCACGGCCGGATCTTCACAATGGACGACCTTGGGCGACCCTCATCTCCACTCTCGTTCTCACAGCCACATAAGTTTATATAATATGTCTACAATCGAATCGCAACTCGCAGTAAACAAAGAACAACAAGATGCATTTTGGCAAGGGCTTCCCTTATCGGGGGAATACTGGGATTTTAAGGTAGGGGTTAAGGGGAAGTATAAGGTCAAATGGCTTAGCAAGATCCTTCGATATGCCGAAAATATTGCAGCATTAATTTTGAAATAAATATATGGTAAAGTTGAGGATTAATGTTAATGATTATGTTAGACAAAAACACGATTTCGTAAAATTTTCTCGATAGAAAAAAAATCCAAAGTTACCTCCAAAATAAACAATAAACCGCTGTTATTCATAAAATACTTTAAATAAGATCATGAAACTTTGCATACTAACTGAACTAACTATAAAGCAGCGCTTATGTTATTATATTATTACTTTTTTTAAAATACCATTATTTTCACTGTAAAAAGAAATTACCTAAACTATCGGCGTCTTGAGCTTGATTCCTGTCGCACCGTTAGTATCGCTTAGGCTTTTGAAGGGAGAAGTTGTGTCGCTTACGATCAGAATACACATTACGCAACAGTACGACGTAAAATTAAAATGGGAAATAACCGTGATAAAAATAAGAAGCGGCTGGCTTGGCGTTAAGAAACAGGCATAAATATGATAAACCTAATGAAATAAGTGTCTAACGACCTATCTACTTACGCCGACGCCTACCGCCCCGACGCGCGGGGGAAGTGGGGGCGAAATTAGAATTTGAGCTGACTTACTCTATCCTGTTAAGTGATTACTAGAAAGAGTTATGGACATAATTTCGCGAATGCATAGTAATGAAAGAGACGTAATTTAGTGAGAATAAGACAAACATGATCATTCAATTTTTATACAACAAACACAAATGAGTATACGGTTTACCACATGGAGAGTGGTTGTTAAGACCTATAGACATTTATCCTAGATTAAGAATCAAAATGCAGATGCATTGTCACCTTTGAGGACTAAGATGCAATGTCTCGTTTATAGTAAATTCTATACTCACAATAAGAAACAGCAGCATTATAGCTGCTATTTTACGCTAGTATTTTAACCGACTTTAAAAAGGACGAGGTATTCAATTCGCCTGTATGTTTTTCTATGTGTGTTACTTTAGAACTTTTTTCTGGGTGAACCGATTTTGATGATTCTTTTTTTATTTGAAAGCTGATGCTTATCGTGTGGTCCCATATTTGATCAAGATCTGAC